CATTTCCTCTACTCTACTCATCAGATAAGATGTTGACGACTGTAGCTGGCAGCCTTTCATCTTTTTCGGAGTACTCTTACTCCGACTGCATCATCTACGATATGGACGCCAGTAGCGTGATGATGAGTGGGGTGGTTGAAGAATTATGGACTCGTTATCCCTATGTTCGCATTCATCGGAGCAAACTACCCTACAAAAATCGTGCAGAGAGAAGAGACCGAGCCCTGCCTGGAGAGATTGTCTATGGTGAACCCCCTCAATTCAACAATCGAATTGGTGATGACCCTCATCTACCTCATCTCATCGGATTAATAACACATCACGTGGAGGGAAATCATCTAAACCCCTGAACATGACGATGAAGGAAATCGAGACATTATATGCTGCCGACCCGCACTACTACAGAGGCTTACAGTTAGATACAGAAGAAATGCGTCGCTATTGGTTTACAAAATCTCTGCGTAAGGCCTTTGCAATCATCTTAACAAGAGAAGAAGAATATAAAATTAATCGCATAATTTTCCCTTTTGGACTTGGGATGGGCTGTGGTCAGTACTGGAAGAGCTACAATCAAGAAGTATGGAGACTGAAATATCTACCCATAATGATGAAGTTGGAGCGGTATTACCAGCGTCGCGGGTTGAAATTTGTGATGGTTGACTCTGCAAGCAATGCAATCCCTGCAGCATTGCCTACACACGGTGTGCTTACACATAAGTTAAGTGAAGGAGTTGCCTCTGCTTATCATCGGACGAAGAACAACAACTTGAACGCAGATGTAGACGAAGCTGGAGGTGAAACTACAAAACCCCCTTGCAAAGCCGTTCCTATAATAGACCTTACAGGAGATACCGAACTCATTGATTTAACAGTCGACTAGAAATATATATATATATATATATATATATATATATATATATATATATATATATATATATATATATATATGTATATATATATATAAACTATTGTTACCATTTTTCACTGCCTGCAATTAATAATAATAATAAAAAAATAATATTATACTCTGTGTTTATCTTCCCACTTTAACAAACAGTTGAGTGCGTTTATAGATGTAATAGAGGAATGAAAAGAGTAAATGGTAACTCTATACTGTATATAATTCTTACATCCGCAAACTCGCGTTTAATAACTGACAAGATGTGTTCAAGGTATATGCTTCATAAGCTATCCAGTCTTAAAGACTGCAAAGTAGAAGGTGATTATCTGGCAATGGATTAGTTCCATCCTGGTGACTGTATAGTGTATGATATTCCTTCAATTCACACCCATTCAGGAAGAATGTCTTGCGAGATCTGGCAAAGGTATCCTTATACACGACTACAGCGAGCGATCCAACCATTAAGTAACTATGTGGTGGTGGCTGATCGCGTCAAAGTAGGAGGAGCTGTCTTTTCTCCTTCCTCACCAGAAAGTCTACCACATGTTATAGCTATTGTGACCCGGTATAGCGCAGGACCGCCAATAGAAAATAACGCTGTTAACCAAAAAATTCTATTAGAGCAGTGTGGGGAGGATACAGATTGTATAATGGAGGGACTCCGCAACGATACTAAGATCAAGAGACGATGGAGCTTTAAACTATGCATTAATCAAATTTTAAGCATGACTAAGCGTCATAATTCAATCAAGCGCGTCAAAATTCCTTATGGGTTGGGAATGATTGACAGTGATGACTTGAATCCAGATGAAAAGCTTGAATGGGAGGTCAACTACTACACAGCTCTGGCTCACTTAGCCATGGTGTTAAAGAAACATGAAAAACAACTCATAATAGTTGAAAAAAATGACAAGATAAATATGTAAGTGTCTACCAGTTATTGAATAAAACGTAATAAGAGAAAGATCAACTATTTTTTCACCTATTATGCTAACACCATATGACTGCATTATGCTGAGTGTTATGTCTGTCAGTTAATATGCTTACCAAGACAAATATGTGACTTATGTTATGTCTACCAGTTATTGAATAAAACGTAATAAGAGAAAGATCAACTATTTTTCACCTATTATGCTAACACCATATGACTGCATTATGCTGAGTGTTATGTCTGTCAGTTAATATGTTTACCAAGATAAATATGTGACTTAGGGGCCATGGTACCCGAAAATCCGATGAAAAATGGAATATTTACGAAAAATTACGAAAAATACTACAACGTTCTGGCAACACTGTGGTCCAAACCGTTTAATGATATCTTGAAAAATAACGTAATTAGAGTCAAATTTCCCGCTGCAACTTTTGTGAATCTGGTCCTCGCGCCGTGAGTACGCCGCGGGGTATTGTATCTTACGTTGTAGATGTCTTATTTTTCGTAATAGCGTTGAAAATAACATGTTATGCATAAAATGAATATAAACTAACACATATGGCAACACTAATTGTCTGACACGAGGGTGATACAGTCAGTGACTGCGTGTCTCTCATGGAGTGAGGATGTATGCTGACGCGCTCACACAATATCTCCCAGAACATGCTATTTTTGCTATTTGTACTGCAATATGACTTACCAAACGAACAAGAGAAAAGCATTGACAGCTAGATGCATGCGAGCTCTCCATACGAGCTGGCCGCAATGCGTAAATCACCAGTCACGAGTGACCGCAGGTTGAGTAAACTTGTTGAGCGCGCTACGCAACTCCAACTTTTACAACTAGATCTCGTTTCACAGCCTTTATTTATTATTCAATTTACATGAAACTTGCACATTATATGTAGAGTTTACGCCTCTATAAACGCATGTCATTATTCTTATCTACGTAGATTTATTGATTTTATAAATAATGATACACTTCATTTTGTTGCATACGTTTTTGGGAAACTTTTATAAATCTGTATTATTGCACTAATTACATCTGGGATAATGATGTGACATGCAAATCTTTATTATATAGTAAGGTCATAGCTGAGTGTCGTATAAATGATTTTGGTTCACAATTGTGGGCTGTGAAATCAATTGAACATGGTTGAAAAATTCTTCTTTTCTTTTTTTTATTTTTTTTCTCCGTCTCTATTTAGGCTGAGATGCTGAAACTTGGCCTAGGTGCAGCACCTTTCACATGTATCAGGATAATAAATTATGAATACCCTACAACAATTTTTTATATCCTGGTGATATGGCCCCTTATGTTATGTCTACCAGTTATTGAATAAAACGTAATAAGAGAAAGATCAACTATTATGCTAACACTAGTCTCTGTTTTTTCTGCTGGATCGAACGATCGCTAATGGTTGATGTTGAGTGAAAACTCGCGCTATGGAAAGACACAAGGTCAGACCCTAACGAGACGGAAAGAGTAACCACGCATACATTTTCAAATGTTATAAGAACTGAAAACAGTCATAACCCAGAGCTATTTCACTATCGTCTCATCCGGTCTGTTTACATTAGATAATGTAGGTCTTAGAGAAAGAGAGTGTGTGTTGAACTCGAGAATAATGAACAAGTCAATTTAATATTAGTCTCAAAACTATGTTTTCCGCATTGTCTTATATATATATATATATATATATATATATATATATATATATATATATATATATATATATATATATATATATATATATATATATATATATATATATATATATATATATATATATATATATATATGTTTTACTTTGTATGTGTGGAACACTGCTCACCTAAGGGATAGAGAGAGCGAGAGAGAGTGTGAGAGAGAGAGAGAGAGAGAGAGAGAGAGAGAGAGAGAGAGAGAGAGAGAGAGAGAGAGAGAGAGAGAGAGAGAGAGAGAGAGAGAGAGAGAGAGAGAGAGAGAGACAGAGACAGAGAGACAGAGAGAGAGACGGAGTCGCTGACCGTAGCTACATCTCCCCTTCCTTAACTAAACGCAGTGGGTAATGGATACCAAACCACTTCCGCCGTGTCTGAGGAAGTAATGGCAGTCATTGCGTACCCTCCGGGAGGGGAAGATATAACCAAACTACTTGGAAAGACTCTTCAGTTACCCTCTAACCAGTGGCCAGTATGCACACCCCTCCGCGGATATTGAAAAACGCTTAAGGGTAATGGTTCATATCCGTCCAACTCTGTCACCTATACACTCCAATACATTGTTACATAAAACAATCCTTCGCCACCAACTGTTGCCTCATCTCATTCACAACTTAAGAGTGACTGCTCTCCCTTTCTCTTCCTCCTTCTCCTCCACACTTCCTACCATGTATGACCCAACTATTACCCTCATGGAGCATCTCCAAACACAGCTGCATAACTCGAAGAAAATAGACTTGAAAAAACGATTAAGGCAAATGGACCACATCCCTCCTGCTGGACTCTACTCTCTCATCCTCTCCCACTTACGGCTTCCTGTAGGGGGAGCTATTGGTTGTCAAAACCGCAAATGACCCCTGAGCAGTCTCACGCTGAGGGGGACCTCCCCTCACCCTTCCATCCCTCCCTCCCTCCCTCACCCCTTCCCCCACCCCAAACAACATAACAGACTATGTTGGGACCCCTCTCACCTACACTCAGCCTCTACATAGCTTACTTACTATCATCAAACTATTATCTACACACAGGATTAAGTCTACACCAAACACACATACATATCTAACTACTCTTTCCTCATATTCCACTCTTATCCGTGTATTTCTTACTCTACCACATACTCTCCTACACCCCCAACAACATGACCTCCCCTCTTTCCTGACCACATACCCTAACACCGGACGCTCACACGCGTCCGACACGCGCCAAACTTCTGGGAAAATTCCCCCCAAACCCTTTAGGACTACGACGACGCGCTGCGACTATGACGACGCGCGCCACCTGTGCAGCTGGCACTCAAGAGTGTCACCTGGGCAGATGGCGCGCGTTGCTCTAGTCCTCAACTTCACTACTTGTCCATGCCTCAATAACGCACCTGTGTCCATGCCTCACTAACCCACCTATGTCCATGCCTCACTAACGCACCTGTGTCCGTGCCTCATTAACGCACCTGTGTCTGTCTCCCAGCAGGTCGGTGGGAGAGATGCCGATGACGGTGGCAGAGTTCATAAGGAAGCAGCGGTCTGGGGAGTTACCTCCACCCACCAAGCCGTCCAAGACCGCCGCGGCTGATGAAGCAGCAGCGAAGCAGAAGGCGCTGGAAGAGAGGCAACAGCAGGAAAAGGAGGCGCAGGAGAAACGGGATAAGGAAGAGAAGGAGAGACAGGATCGCCTCGAGAAGGAAAAGAAGGAAAAGGAAGAACAGGCCAGAAAGGAAAAAGAAGAAAAAGAACGCAAAGAGAAGGAACAGAAAGAAAAGGAAGAGAAGGAACGGAAGAAAAAGGAAGAGGAAGAACGGAAGAAAAAGGAGGAGGCAGAACGGAAGAAAAAGGAGGAGGAAGAACGGAAGAAAAAGGAGGAGGAAGAACGGAAGAAAAAGGAGGAGGCAGAACGGAAGAAAAAGGAGGAGGAAGAACGGAAGAAAAAGGAGGAGGAAGAACGGAAGAAAAAGGAGGAGGCAGAAAGGAAAAGAAAGGAGGAAGAACGGAAGAAAAAGGAGGAGGAAGAACGGAAGAAAAAGGAGGAGGAAGAACGGAAGAGAAAGGAGGAGGAAGAACGGAAGAAAAAAGAAGAGGAAGAAAGGAAAAGAAAGGAGGAAGAACGGAAGAAAAAGGAGGAGGAAGAACGGAAGAAAAAAGAAGAGGAAGAAAGGAAAAGAAAGGAGGAAGAACGGAAGAAAAAGGAGGAGGAAGAACGGAAGAAAAAGGAAGAGGAAGAACGGAAGAAAAAAGAAGAGGAAGAAAGGAAAAGAAAGGAGGAAGAACGAAAGAAAAAAGAGGAAGAGGAACGGAAGAAAAAGGAGGAAGAGGAAAGGAAGAAAAAGGAGAGGGAACAACAAGAAAAAGAACGGAAAGAAAAGGAAGAAAGAGAACGAAAAGAAAAGGAAGAAAGAGAACGAAAAGAAAAGGAAGAAAGAGAACGAAAAGAAAAGGAAGAAAGAGAACGAAAAGAAAAGGAAGAAAGAGAACGGAAAGAAAAGGAAGAAAGAGAGCGGAAAGAAAGAGAGCGGAAAGAAAAAGAAGAAAGAGAGCGGAAAGAAAAGGAAGAAAGAGAGCGAAAAGAAAAGGAAGAAAGAGAGCGGAAAGAAAAGGAAGAAAGAGAGCGAAAAGAAAAGGAAGAAAGAGAGCGTAAAGAAAGAGAGCAGAGAGAAAAAGAAGAAAAAGAACGAAAAGAAAAAGAGCGGAAAGAAAAGGAAGAAAGAGAGCGGAGAGAAAAGGAAGAAAGAGAGCGGAGAGAAAAGGAAGAAAGAGAGCGGAGAGAAAAGGAAGAAAGAGAGCGGAAAGAGAGAGAGCAGAGAGAAAAGGCTAGTGTCAAAAAAGAAAAGGTACCAAGCGTGCAGAATGAAGTGGCAGGCCTGCCTATGGCGCCGAGTGCCCCGGCACCACGGAAAGAACAGGTGCCGAATGTACCTATTCAGCCAGCAGTCCTGCCAATGGTGATGAGGGAAAAGGCCCCGAAGGTGATGAAGGAAAAGGAACCGAGCGTACAGCCTGCCCAAGTACCGAGCGCACCACCCGCCCAGGTACCGAGCGTACAGCCTGCCAAGGTACCGAGCGTACCACCCGCCCAGGTACCGAGCGTACCACCCGCCCAGGTTCCGAGCGTACAGAGTGAGGTGGCAGTCCCCCCAATTCCGTTAGAAGAAAAGGCACCAAAGGCAAAGAAGGAAAAGAAACCAAAGGCAAAGAAAGAAAAGGAACCGGTTGCAAACAAAGAAAATGATAAACAGAAGGAAAAGGAAGCAAAGGAGCAGGAAGAGAGAGAAAAGAAAGAACAAGAAGAACAAGCGAAGAGAGAACAAGAAGAGCAAGCAGAGAGAGAAAAGGAAGAACAGCTGCGCAGAGAGAAGGCAAAAGCCCGCAAAGAGAGACAGATTGAGGCCAGGAAGAAACGAGAGGATCAGACGCAACAGCAAAAGGCGGCGAAGGAGGAAGAAGAACGCAAGGCGCGCGAGGAGAAGGATCGCAAGAAGCAGGAGCGCCTCCAGCAGCAGCAGAAGGCAGACCAGGAGTGGAGAGAGAAGGAGGCAGCGCTGGCGAAGGAGCGGGAGGAAGCCCATGAGAAGCTGCAGCAGAAACGCCAGCAGGTGAAGGAGAAGAAGAAGGAGTTCAAGGGCGCTCGTCAGAACGACCCCAAGTTCGACAACTTCATGGGGTGGATCACCAACGGCCAGAAACACGACATGGGCAAGTCCCACGACTTCCTCGCTAGTGACAGTGACGACGACGACTGAGCTAGTTCCGTGCAGTCACACTTGGCTCTGTGCAGCCTTCACACCTGGCTCTGTGCCGCCTTCACACCTGGCTCTTTACAGCCATCACATGGCATTATATCACCGCTTGTAGAGCACATCCATTGCACCATAAACGCTGCAACATCTGATTGTACAAATGCCACCTGGGGTCAACAACCAACACCTGGCACTCTTGCCTCAGAAACTCTCTGGGATTGTTCATTAGGCTGCCATAATACCTTCCTGTTCAACCAGCAGGTATACTTTACTCCTTAACACAGTTCAGAACCAATGTAAACTGCCCGTGTATATTCACCAAGAAGCAGGGCATATCTCTCAGTGAATATTCACCGAGACGTACAGCATATACTTCTTAATGCATATATGTTTCATCGTTCATTGCGGCAATGTTTTGCTCCACACAACTGGCAGCAGTGCCCCACACAACTGGCAGCCGTGCCCCACACAACTGGCAGCCATGCCCCACACAACTGGCAGCAGTGCCCCACACAACTGGCAGCCGTGCCCCACACAACTGGCAGCAGTGCCCCATACAACTGGCAGCCGTGCCCCACACAACTGGCAGCCATGCCCCACACAACTGGCAGCAGTGCCCCACACAACTGGCAGCAGTGCCCCATACAACTGGCAGCCGTGCCCCACACAACTGGCAGCCGTGCCCCACACAACTGGCAGCCGTGCCCTACACAACTAGCAGCAGTGAGTGTTTTCTTGCCATAAGAGCTGCAACAATTGGTCCTAACCGAGCTGCATCTTGCCACTGAACCCGCTTCTTGATCTTGTATAGCCATAACATCTGACTCTCGTACATCTGTCAGAAGGTGGCGTCACTTCCAGGTATCAAACGTGACACATACCTGAACCTGACCCGCATGACAGGGGCTCACTAATTACAGCCATCAAAGTCTCAAAACCTGTCAATATGCAATGTCACTTGAGGAGGATCTTTTAGTGCCGTCTGGCACTGTAAATTCTGGGTCATGTGTTAGATCTAGCGCCGTTGAACTGTTAATTGTGGGTCATGTGTTAGATCTAGCGCCGTTGAACTGTTAATTGTGGGTCATGTGTTAGATCTAGCACCGTTCAACAACCGTTTGGTTCATGTTCTACAAGTAGCACCGTTCAAAAGTCTATTAAGGTCATATCTTAGACCAAGCACCGTTTAAGGGCCAACTGAGCTCATCTGATAACACAGGACTACCGATTAGGCTAATTTAATGCACTTTATCATTTCTACAACAAGTGAAACTGCACTCTGGACATTAGAGGTTATTGAACCATTCACAGTTGTCATAGAAAGTGTCAACTATCTTCGCGCAATTGTTAACTGAGGTCACTTTGTCGTGGTACAAGTGTCAGAAAAGGTCATATTGACCTGGACAACGCTCACCTGAAGGCAACTAGTAGTGTACAACTGCCATCGGAGGTTAAATAGTCCTGTTTAACTGTCATCAGAGGTCAAGTAGTCCTGATCAGCTGTCAGCTTTGACCATCTTTGTGTGGTATAGTTGTCAGCTGAGGTCAACGTGGCCTGTTCAATTATTTATTGAGAGTCGTGCCTTAAGAGTGATTTGTTAAGATTTGAACGTTAAAGTCATTAGCTAATGACTGTTATGATACCCTATAGTTACATATCTGTACATAATGAAGTATTTGTTTAATTACAGATTTTAAAGAGAAACAAATTGTATATATAGTTTCTAGATCGCTTTAGACCCTATCAGGACTTGGTTTTGAAAGAGGCCTGATAGGTTCTGAAGTGATGTAGCAAATATTTCGCTATTCAAATGAAGTTATTTTGCATATATAGTGTGGCGATCCAGAGGGGGAACGCGTGCCTTGTCCTCAGCTCCTGTTGGGAAGCTAAGGAGCTCTACGAGATACAAAACCTTCAACCTTTCACTGTATTCACCAGTTAGTAACATGTAACTTATAGAAGTGACATATTAAAAAAAATGAAAGTTGCAGTACGGACGAACATGGCACGTGCGAGGAGCTAAAAATCCCCTATAATGCTGTGTATGTGTTCATCTTTCTTGACGAGTGTCCTCACCACTGGATCAATACATCATAAAAACAAATGCACGAGATAGCAATATTTTTCAAATGACTCAAACCCTTGTTATGTATATATATATATTGTACCTAGTAGCCAGAATGCAGTACTCGGCAACGCCCGATTTGCCTAATTAGCCAAGTTTTCCTGAATTTATATATTTTATGAAATATATACGACTATTCATTTTCTAATGAAATGATAAAGCTATCCATTTCATTGTGAATGAGTTCATTTTTTTATATTTGAATTAAAATTAAAGTAGATATATGACAGAACCTAACCTACCTAACCTAACCTAACCTAACCTATCTTAACCTAACCTAAACTAACATAACTAAGTAAATAATTTATGTTCTTGATATAATATAATAATAATAACTCATATGAACCAATTGGAATTTAAAAAAAGAAAAAAAAATCACTTAGCCTATTAGACAAATCGGCACTGCATAGTAGGCCGAGAAGTGCGTTCTGGCTACTAGGTACGACATATATATATATATATATATATATATATATATATATATATATATATATATATATATATATATATATATATATATATATATATATATATATATATATATATATATATATGTGGGTAAATCACGAAAATTAACACGTGATGAAAAATGTGACAGTGCCAAACAACGGAGGAAGAATTGAAACAGGAATTTCCTTACGTACTTTCGTATATTATTATATATTCAGAAGGAATGATTCTACTGAAGACGCATTAATATACGAAAGTATTTAAGGAAATTCCTGTTTCAATTCTTCCTCCGTGGTTTGACACTGTCACATATATATATATATATATATATATATATATATATATATATATATATATATATATATATATATATATATATATATATATATATATATGTATGTATATATATGTATGTATATATATATTTATATATATATATATATATATATATATATATATATATATATATATATATATATATATATTATTTATTTATTTATTTATTTATTTATTTACGTTTATATATTTAAGTATCATATAACACTAAATCATGTTCGCTTTGCAAAGCATATTCTTTTACAATGTATATTGCATACGCCGCAAGAACATTTGTGGTTTTAACATGTGATCTGCAACAAATTCCATTATTTATCTCATTATCTTTCCAGTTTACCACAGTAGGCTTCGTGCAGCCTTCAGATTATGGCTTTCAACAAGACCACTGGGTGTGGGGTCACTGGGTGTGGGGTCACTGGGTGTGGGGTCACAGGGTGTGGGGTCACTGGGTGTAGGGTCACTGGGTGTGGGGTCACTGGGTGTGGGGTCACTGGGTGTGGGGTCACTGGGTGTGAGGTCACTGGGTGTGGTGTCACTGGGTGTGGGGTCACTGGGTGTGGAGTCACTGGGTGTAGGGTCACTGGGTGTGGGGTCACTGGGTGTGGGGTCACTGGGTGTGGAGTCACTGGGTGTGGGGTCACTGGGTGTGGAGTCACTGGGTGTAGGGTCACTGGGTGTGGGGTCACTGGGTGTGGGGTCACTGGGTGTGGGGTCACTGTGTGGGGTCACTGGGTGGAAGGTCACTGTGTGTGGGGTCACTGTGTGTGGGGTCACTGTGTGTGGGGTCACTGGGTGTGGGGTCACTGTGTGTTGGGTCACTGTGTGTGGGGTCACTGGGTGTGGGGTCACTGGGTGTGTGGTCACTGTGTGTGGGCTCACTGTGTGTGGGGTCACTGGGTGTGGGGTCACTGTGTGGGGTCACTGTGTGGGGTCAATGGGTGTGGGGTCACTGTGTGGGGTCACTGTGTGGGGTCACTGTGTGGGGTCAATGGGTGTGGGGTCACTGTGTGGGGTCACTGTGTGGGGTCACTGGGTGTGGGGTCACTGTGTGGGGTCACTGTGTGGGGTCACTGGGTGGAAGGTCACTGTGTGGGGTCACTGTGTGGGGTCACTGGGTGGAAGGTCACTGTGTGGGGTCACTGCGTGGGGTCACTGGGTGTGGGGTCACTGGGTGGAAGGTCACTGGGTGTGGGGTCACTGTGTGTGGGGTTACTGTGTGTGGGGTCACTGGGTGTGGGGTCACTGTGTGTGGGGTCACTGGGTATGGGGTCACTGGGTGTGGGGTCACTGTGTGGGGTCACTGTATGTGGGGTCACTGGGTGTGAGGTCACTGTATGTGGGGTCACTGGGTGGAAGGTCACTGTGTGGGGTCACTGGGCGTGGGGTCACTGTGTGTGGGGGTCACTGTGTGTGGGGTCACTGTGTGTGGGGTCACTGGTTGTGGAGTCACTGTGTGTGGGGGTCACTGGGTGGGGTCACTGGGTGTGGGGTCACTGGGTGTGGGGTCACTGGGTGTGGGGTCACTGGGTGTGGGGTCACTGTATGTGGGGTCACTGGGTGTGAGGTCAGTGTATGTGGGGTCACTGGGTGTGAGGTCAGTGTATGTGGGGTCACTGGGTGTGAGGTCACTGTGTGTGGGGTCACTGGGTGTGGGGGTCACTGTATGGGGTCACTTGGTGCGGGGTCACTGTATGTGGGGTCACTGGGTGTGGGGTCACTGGGTGGGGTCACTGGGTTGATATAATCATATAGAGTTGGACTATATAACGTGCTCTCGTAATCGTATATTGTTCTTGATATTCATATAAAGTGATATTATGCTCCTCTAAAATTATCTTATTCCTCTAAAGTGTTCTCTTTTCCCAATAAAGTGCTCTCCAATCCCGTTAAAGTGCTCTCTTATCCTATAAAGCGCTCTCTTATCCCTATAAAGTGCTCTCTCATCCCTGTAAAGTGCTCGTTTATCCTATAATGTGCTCTCTTATCCTTTAGAGTGCTCTCTTATCCCTGTAAAGTGCTCTCTTATCCTTTAAAGTGCTCTTTTATCCCTGTAAAGTGCTCTCCTATCCTATAAAGTGCTCTCATACCCCT